GAAGCACGTGCTTTCGAGGCGATTCTTGAACCTGACCTAACCATGTTATTTTCATAAGAAAACTAGCCTAGCTTGTCGACACATGCTGCACTGACAAAGCATTGTTCATTACATTCCTCAGTTTAACTTTTCTAAGTCATTGCCCAGAGTTTTATCCAAAGAAAAATTTGCATTAATACTAAGGTCAACATATTTTGCAGGGTGGATACAAGGGCTTTTATTCTCGAAATACAGTCCCTCTTACTCCAAAAGTTGTCAATGATATCCATAAACGTGGCGGAACCATCCTCGGAACTTCGCGAGGTGGCCATGATACCTCAAAGATTGTAGACAGCATTCAAGACCGTGGAATAAATCAGGTCTCTTTAAGATATTGATCAGTCTGAAAGCTCGGTTAACAGTTGCATTAGGATTCAGTTACACCCTTTTTCTGCTTCTTCAGTGCATCAGAAATAATTACTTTAGCTCTCTTGTTCCAGGTTTACATAATTGGTGGAGATGGAACTCAAAAGGGAGCATCTGTCATTTTTGAGGTAGAGTTGAAACCATAGAGTACTAATTGGTGTGATTTCCACATCTGGATAAATGTTGCTAAGTCATACATGTCTTTATGTGCTTCTTTCTTAAGTTCATTTAGTACAAAATTGTTATTGGTTGGATTTCTTAGCAATAATCAAATCATGCTATTCTATTTTCTCATGTAATTTTTCCACTATACTGCTTCAGGAAATTAAGAGGCGTGGTCTTAAGGTAGCAGTGGCAGGAATCCCAAAAACCATTGATAATGATATCCCGGTAATTCATGCACAGCCCAATCTCTGAAATTGCTGTTGATGGTTCTCAAAGCCTTTTTGTGAACTACCTCCTTGTTTAAATAGGTCATAGACAGGTCCTTTGGCTTTGATACTGCTGTTGAAGAAGCTCAACGCGCTATTAATGCTGCACATGTTGAAGCTGAAAGTGGCGAGAATGGCATCGGTCTTGTGAAAGTGATGGGTCGTTATAGCGGTAATTTGCCACATGCCCTCACTTTAGTTTCCATGATCATCCCATACAAAGATGCAGCTTGATCATGAAAATTTCTACTCAATTAACATCTTTCACTGGCATTAGAGGTTTTATCAGGAAAAGAAAAGGAAAAAAAGAGCAACATGAACTTGAAAGATAAGATTTAAATCGACTTGTAATATTGTGCCTTTTAAAGCATATAGACCTGCAAGTATAAACATCCAGAAATTCAGCTTAAACTCTTGGCCATCATATTTTTAATTGCAAATGTCCAATGGGTGACAAATAGAAGCTGCTATTGACATTTGAAATAGCACAAAGTTAATGCAATTTCCATGAGTTTATATGCTTGCTTCTTAAACAAACCAGTTATACTCAATGTTTTATGTTGTTCTTCTGCTAAAATACAAATAATCTGCAGGGTTCATTGCAATGTATGCTACTCTTGCAAGCAGGGACGTTGACTGTTGCCTCATTCCCGAATCGCCCTTTTACCTTGAAGGGCCCGGTGGACTTTTTGAGTATATAGAGAGACGACTCAAAGAAAATGGGCACATGGTTATTGTCATTGCTGAAGGTGCAGGGCAGGAGCTTCTTTGTGAGAGCATGCATTCCGCAGATAAGAAGGATGCTTCCGGAAACAAGCTTCTCCGAGATGTTGGCCTTTGGCTATCGGAGAAGATCAAGGTGACTGACTATTCTACTTAAATTACAGTCATGAGTTTGAAGCTCATATTGTTTTCCGAGAGTTTTCACCCTTTTCGAAATTGCATGCGATTGTTTTTTTGATTTAGCAATCAGAACATTGAAGGGTCTTTCAAATTTAGTTTCATTCCGTATTTGCTTTGTTATTGGCTGGTAGATTGTAGTTCTAATCACGCCTGCTGGACTTATTTATATATTTATTAAGTGTGACCCGATAAACTTTCTTAAACTTTCTCTGTGCTCGAACATCCTAGTGACCATTGTTCAATAGGATGATGCATGTGACTTAGGTGGAGCATCTTGCTTCAATGATGCAGCATGTTCCCGAGATAGTCGAAAGTGTATATGTCTAGTATATTGGCGTTGTCTCTTGCATTATCATGTCAATCTACTCCTATGTCTGTTTTCTCTACCAGCAGGATTACCATGTGTTCATTACGGAACTTATAGTCGTTCATATAACTCATTATCTTGTAACTTGTGTTTGGCTCTCATGATTTATTGCCTCTTTACAACACAATTATAAATTTCTCTTCAATGACATGGAGCTTCAGAGGCCGTATACCAATAGTCCTATTTGCTAGTATCCTAGTCAAAGTTCTGCTTTGTTGGATGAGGAACATACATAATGTTTGACCTTCACACATAACAATCTTAATTTTCTCTAGAAAATATTGAAGAAATGCTATAAATAGTCTTGGAGACAGTTTAATCAGATGACACTTCCTCATTCCGCATCATCTGTTTCTGATGCTGGACTTCACACTATATCTTGAAAACTCCTTAAGACTTTCCCGTTTTGGCAGGAGCATTTCGCCAAGAAGAATAAAATGATCATAAATCTCAAATTTATAGGTTAGTAATATTCTTACTCTCTTATTTTAGAAAGGCTGGGAAATGACTACTTCATTCAACATTCCTCTCTGTTTTGTCCGGCAGACCCTACTTACATGATCCGGGCTGTCCCCAGCAATGCCTCTGACAATGTATACTGCACGCTTCTTGCTCAAAGTGCAGTCCATGGAGCAATGGCAGGTTATACAGGCTTCACAAGTGGGCTGGTCAATGGAAGACATTCGTACATACCTTTCTATGTAAGTTCATTCTATCCCATTTTCATAAAAGAAGGATGCCTACCTTTGTCGTTCATTTCAGTGAATGGTGACAGCAAACAGATTTTGAAAGCAATAAAGAAACATGATTAGCTGATAGTATGCAATTAGTTTCAACCCGTCTGATCTTGAATCCAGACCAAGACAAGAAAAAATTTCTTCTACTGAATGGGCCCGTGCTTCCTTCTATATCTATGTTAAATGTTGTTTTAACATTCTGGAAACTTATTGCTTCGGCGACTCAATTTTGTGATGATTACCAGTGAGTTACTTACCACCATCTAGTATGCTTTATGCAGAGAATAGCAAACCATGGTCCTGTTTGCTTTCGAGAAATTTCCACCTTCTACACGCTCTTTCGTGTTTAAGCTGATAAGCTTTGATCCTGCATATGCATTTACTGATCAAAAGAAGTAAAGAAAACTAACGGATCGTATGACTACCCAATCACTCTAGTTACTTAGAAGACTGGATATTCTTATAGTCAACTGATGGTTCTCTTCATTGTTCTGCAGCGAATTACCGAGAAGCAAAACAAAGTTGTGATAACTGATAGAATGTGGGCACGGCTTCTGTCGTCGACTAACCAACCTAGCTTTCTGACCGCCAAAGATGTTATCGAGGACAAGAGAGAAGATGAGGCACCAACCCAGTCCTTAGATAACCTGTCCAACCAGGATATGAGTAATTTGGTCAAGAAAGAGATCTGCTGCAATTGACTTGGATCCTATGCTCAAACGCAGTGTATTTCAAGTTATACCTTTAGCCTGACGTAGGTAATATGGGCGCGACGTCATTGCCCAAATCAATGAGTCTGCTGTTACCGCTACGATCTTTTATGTTTCTTTGCTCAGCTGGTGACGTGCATGGGGTCGAAAATCCTTCCCTTGTTGAACCTGTCTTTCTGAATTCGTGATTTTGCTGGTGTATCAATCTGTTATTGCCAACAAATATTCTCTGAGCTCCTTAGAAGAAGAAATTCCTGATCATCCTTTAAAAAATTAGTTTTACCCCTCAGCCAGTTTGTGTTTAGGAAGTCGAAACCAAAATGGAGGTTGTTGAGTTTTGACTTGTTCATCATCACTTACTCATGCAACTGGATTAGTTTACACTAGTCGAACTGGAAAGCCTGGTGAAACCATTCACAGATCAGCACTCCGTCCTATCATTTTTCCAACTCGCCGTCCTCGTGCTGTCATTCAAGTAGGGGAGAAATCAAACTGCCCCGTTGTCATTAACCTCTTCATCACTCTTGTGCAAAGTATGGAAGAGGAACAAGAAACTACGCACGAGTAAATGGGTCATAGATCAAATAAAAGGAGTTCTACGAGATACTGATCTATAGCACTTGTTGGTACATATGGAAGAGAAGGAGGAACAGAAATCAGACAGAAGTGGCTCTCTTTGGCAAGCTGATACATGTAGTGTAATTTTGAAGACAGATGTCACGCAAGCCGGTGTTATTCAGTAGTGAATGGTTTCTCGTGTGACGAAAAAAATAATGAGTATACAAACTCCAAAACTTCATATGTTCTGCCGATTCATCTAAGTTAACCATGCAGGAAGTCACTTCGTTATTTTGTGTTGAGGTTACATCAAAGAAAGCCAGAGGTAGGCAATAATGGAAAACCGAACTCGTTGCCTACAGACATGTCCATAAGAGCAACAGAGAAACATCGGCACGAACATGATCAATGTCTATTGCCCAATGCTTGGCTAATGGAGAAACAACAGATCAGAGCCGGTTTGTCCAACCTTGGGACTATGACCGGGACACGTCGGCCTAAATGCCTCCCCTACAATATGCACCACAAGTGCCGGAGATGCCCTGGGAGAGCAAACTGTCCTAAGACAAAACATACCGCAGGAAGTGTCATTCCATGGTAATGCTGGAAAAAAGTGATTAGATCACTACATTGTCACAATTCAATTCTCAGCACTGAAAAAGGACCTCACTCAAGACTGTAATTGGATGTACGTGTTCTCCTGTTTAGCAACACAGCTTGCTAGCTATGCATTTCAATTGATGGATAAAACTCGTGCATCCTTATACTGCAAGCAGAGCTTTAGCCTTCAGCAATCAGCAACTGGCAAGACTCACCCAGATAAGATAAAAGAAGAATCTATGAAGCAATTTGAAAAAAGAAATAGAAGAAAGCCAACAAGACACCAGAGTAACAATAAATGAAGAACAAATCTATGCTTCCATAAACAATGAGATCCTTTATATACATAACAAATAGCGCAGTGACAACGTAGCGATCAGTACAAAACCAAAACTAAGCTGACATGCTTTCCCAGAGCCAAGAATTGACAGTCCCTTTACACGATTACACTCACTTTACAACTCATGCGAATCTTATGACACGATTACAGTTACTTTACAACTCATGTAAATCTCATGACTAATCCTTGCTTGCAATGACTAGAATTAGAGGAGCTCAAAGCTCCTACATCATCACATCTTGTACCCTGTGCTGAACCCAGAAGAGAGAAGGCCTCTAGAAAGAGCAGCTTTGAGAGCTCTGACCTTTTCATTTATGAACGGTACACATCAGATTGAATCTTTGTAATTGAAGAGCTGCTGCATGACTTGGAACTCCTTTCTCCCATGAACCCCACCATTTATAAGTTAAAAGAGAAGGTAATAAAAAAGACCCTGCTCTTTACAAACATCTGAAGATCCCCAAGGAAACAAAAAGATAAATTGTATACAATTATAGTCCCGCTTGCCCAGCTAATCCATACCTGATTAGTATGCACATTAGAAATGCCAAAACACCTCGGGATCGTTGCTGTACAGGGAGTGATCTTGGATTTCCTGGTTAGCCACATGCCAATCAATGAGACGAGCTTGTATGATTTTGCACAGCACCAGCCCAGAAGGAAGCATCCACCATTCACTTTCATCCCTATTTGCCATCGAAACAAGAACATTAATATTTTTACGCTGACTGATGCAGTGTCCAGCAAAAGAGAAGAGGGCTTCAACAATTGCCATGCCATGGCAGCCGAAGACAGAAACTTACGCACTAAAATTCCAGGACTGAAAGTTTGAGTTCGAATGCTTTTTTCCACTGTGGTTCTTGTAATGAAGAAATCCACAAATGAAAGCAACTACCTGTTCAGGTGTAAAGTCATAGAGATGGTTAGAATCTGCTTTATTGCCAAAACAAAAATCTATGGCATTTGACATGTCTCATGCGCTGCTTAAACTGCCGTAAACAGTTGGCAGCATAGGTGCATAGGAAGGACAATAGATGCACACTCTTATTCTTGCCTTGCTTCTCTATCAGATAGTGATAATTAAGAAAGCTAAGCCTTTTACTATCAGATCAAGAATATGTAGGAAACATATCTCCAACATTAGCTGCTGTGTGACAGATGTGCGTCTCAGCAAAGTGTACACTCGAGAAGCAGTGTGAATATAACAAGGCAAGGAACATAATGAAGGTACTTGAACCCACAACAAACCTAGGAAAAAAGCTAGTCTTCCAGTTCATTGGCATATCCTAAAAATTCAGTTCCCAGAACAATGCTGTCTTATTAACTGACAGCAGCAAAACGGTAATCTTGAATCTTCATCTCATTAGTGGACACCATCAGAAATAGTAGTACATGCAAGGCACAAACGATTAATTCTGCACTCCAGTATAAAATGTAAGCTTAAGATGAAGAGAACTTACGACATTGATCAAGGACGTGATGTTCCATAAAGCATATACACGCGCCAGGCCGGCTGATCGCCTTGGTCCATGACTAAATAATGCACTAATTCCAGCCGGGAAAGGATAAAGAAGTGCAAGAGGGAGTATAGACAATGCTAAAAGGAAGTCCATCAGAGAAATGGAGTAGAGCTGCAGCAAAGTAAGCAATACTAAGCTAAAGTCTCCTAACAGCAGCATAGAGACCACCAAACCGACGAGATCCTGCATTAACGAGAGAATCGGTCAATACAGTATTCTATTAATTCATCTGGATACCAGAGAGAGAAAGGTTTATTGGCAAACTTGATGGACCTCATTTGAGGCATTTATTACCTGATGACCAACTGGTTTAGTATTATAGATGACAAAAGATAGGGGATAATACACAGCCTTCTTCTCTTTGAAAGTTCGCAGGCTTTTGGAATGTAGAACACCACCACACATCCTTCTATATGTCATTAGAGGTTGTTTCACTACCGAGTGGTCCACTGGATCATCTCTGTAAGTTCGAGGCAAACTGCAAATATACCAGAAACTTAAGCTTAACGGCACTACCAAAACTCTGGCCTCAAAGTAGCTTGCACGAATATAGTTACCATGGTCGCTGCTGCTCAGGTTGCAACAAACCATCTTGACCTTCAATGGATGATGGTAAATTTTGATATTCAACGGCACATGCTATAAGTCCAAACTGGCAATATCCTGAAGCAGTAGGCTGAAAGGAAGCTAGGTTGAGATGCACGTCATATGTAACTAAAGTAGGGTTTGCATGTGTTTCAAGCCAGCTAACAAAACGACCAAGTGTTACTCTTAGTTGTCCACGGCGCACTAATCGCAACTGAGCATTCAGACCCGCCACTAATCGATACCATATTGTAGGCGGTATTGCCTGAGATCAATAATAAAGAATAAGATGCTTTTAAGAAATAATATTGCAATGACGTGCATAAAAAATGATTGTAATTACTAACAATCTTACTTGGCTCATGAGGCTAGTGAGGATATTATCATTGTGAAGGCAGAAAGGAGCCATGTAGCTCCCATCTCCTCCGAATATCAAGGACATTGGAAATCTTTGATTCAGAGAAGGAGGAAGATCAGCTCGCTTTTCATCTCCACCGAGGAAAAAATCCAAATAGCCAAGCATTAGGTCAGATGTTGCAGCCACCTGCATTATGACATGAAGATCAATCCTAAAAGAAGTTTTTTTTTATATCAAAATCCTAAAAGAAACTGATAGCCTGAATTTTAGCATAGCTACTGTCCTTGTGCAAAATGACACCATCATAGCATAAATTTCTACGATATATTTGTATTGCAATATATGATGTTTAGATACAGATACACATAAAATGAGCCATTCTCTTCTCAAGTTCATTGGGATGTAGCTATCAATGAATACTCTTCTCATTAAAGTTAAATACGATTCAAACCCACAATACAATCATAAGGTACAAAAACCCACCTCTCCAATTCTTTTACTAGTCAGTGTGAAGTACCAAAATTCTAGAAACCATGAAAGGTACTACTTCTAGGGCACTATGCTTACACTGTTCAGTAAATATAAAAAATAGTAAAAAAGACTAGGATGTGTGAACTGATACCATCAATCTTCACAACAGACCGTAAATTGAAGTGAGAAGATATATTTAAAAGACCAGCTGACGTCAAGCTAATAGATCTACATGCTTTGCCAATATCAAACCTTAATCCCCTCGTAAAGAGCACGTGAACGGCAAGAACGTAGGCAAGCATGATCATATTCTGACCGAACAAATTCACGAAGTTGCTGTAGTTTGTTTTTGCGACAACGCTGGAGCCATGACCATGACAGCGGATAGGCAAGAAGAGAGAGAATCCTGTAGACTGATCCCTCCCACCATTGGTAAGCAGCTAAACTATTAATCTCATCTACAAATCTGTTAAATGCATCCTCGAATCTGCATATATTTAGGTGAGAAGAATCATCGAAAGAGTATGGACTATAGAGCTATGGGAAAACTAACAAATCAATAATTTTTACATATCAATCTCAGGCAGGCATAGAGAGGTGGATATGAGACATTGAATCCCACAGTATCTTTATATAAGCAGTGAGGGTCCTAGGGAGAGGTGCACTTACACGATCTCTATAATTTCTTCAGGAGGAGAGTGAGGTAGATGCCAAGGTTCACTAAAGGTATTTGCCCCCATGAAGTACATTCTGTGAACGTGGCTTTGAGATTCCTCGATCCTATTTGTTTCCATAACCTAAAAGATTACATCATTAGCATAATACATACGAGAAGTTGGTTACCTGAATTTTAGGTATCAGAAGCAATTAAGGGAAGTACCTCATTTAGAGACTCCAGAAAAGGGAAAGAGTGATCTATTCGAGAACTACGTCTAGGAGGAACAATGGCCGGTGATTCTTCACCACCAACATACTTCATCCGTGCAACACTAAGGACTAGAGCTAACAGGATGAGGACAGTCAGAAGAATTAGACTAAATAACCATGGCCCACCAAAAGTGTATATTAGCTCTTCAAGTGCAGTATAACAATTTGGCATATGAAATCTTTCCGAAACACATTTGTAAGGGCAAGGAGTTTCTGTCACACCGCCTGTCAAGGAAGATGGAGGCCACACAAATTCAATAACTAGATGGAAAAGATCAATAAAAAAAATTAAAAAGCTCCTAATAGTACATTTCAAAATCACAATGAAATATCAGACACCTCTCACTGCCATGTATATTGCACGATGGGGAAGCTCGTGAAGTGAGCAATCCTGACAAAGGGCTCTATTTGATCCACTTACATTCTTGTAAGTACCCACGGGGCATTCCTGCCACACATTTTGAGAGGTTAAGTTGGAACATATAAAGGAAAATAGTAACTGCATCAGCCTACGCCAATCATACAAAATAGTAAATTCATGCAGAATCATATGAGCTGGATGGTAGTAAATGCAGCATACAGGCATTGAAGAGCATACTTTAAGTCATCACAGCTTTTGCAACTTCAGCAATCGTCAACAAGCCCATTCTAGTGCACGTAGATTCTAATCCACGACGTGTATGACTTACTGAGACCATGCGAATTGCACCTATCTAACAGACTATTGGATCAATTATCACTTGGTTTACCATGTCCACTAAACTTTCAATTATCTCAATCTGTCACTAACTAAGTCCATTGATCAGCCCCGTGCCATTGGCCTCCATTATCTTTATGTGGTTTTCTTTTCCAGATGGTCGTTACCTGCTATTGTCGTAGCGAATTTGGTGACATTCCAATGTATCATAGCATTGTTAGGTCTCACTTGTTATTAGGAGGATTTCTTTACCGCAATGAGGTGTCCAAGGCTCTTCAAGCATAAGACTTGTCACCACTGACTGCAATAGTCCTCATCCCACATGCAAAGGCAATTAATAGAGCATCAAGTCGATTGGGTCCAGGCTTTTTCTCTCTCCTCTCTTGTTGCCGGCACCCAAAATGGAGCCAGATTAGGCCCTTTTGCCAGGTTCACCGTTTTCTTGTTTGAGATTTCTTCCTTGTTTCAACTCAATCCCCTGGTCTTTGGTGACCAGATAAAAGCCTCTTCTAGTCACTGGCAATGGGTTAATGATTAAAATTGCTATTCGCGTTTCTTTTACTTCTTTCACTTATACCAGCACATAGATGCCACATCCCACAACGGGCAAAGAGGGATCTAGACAGAAAGTAATGGCAGCAACCTAATGGATACACTTTACGAAGTCGAGTGACCAAATTTAAATGTTTATAGTTTAATGAATTAACAGGAGTACAGCTAAGTCAATAAGCGATTTCAAAGTGTTGAAAACCAAGATCATACATTATTTTCTCTAATGACAAACCAACTCTAAACAATCTATTATGCTTGATTTTTGTAAAATCAACAGATTTGATGATAGATTACCTTGCAAAAAACACCATAAAGCCCCTTTGGGCAGGCCTTTCCTGTAATAGTTCCATTTTCACCAGCATAACCACGGCCTCTGCCAAATCCTCCCCTGCCATTAGGAAAAGAATTTAGACCAAAAACTTCAGACCATTAGCACAACCATACTTTACTGATGTAGGACACCTAAGTATGAAACCAATCCACATGAAAAAATCACAATGTTCATTTGGTAGCATCAGTAAAGTTTTATGTAGTGTTTTTTTATTCATTCTAGATGGTAGAATGATGACAACCTAGAAAGCAGCTAAAAAACTATGAGGCTATCTTAAAAATTGTTTTGCCCTAGAGGATAGGGAAATGGTTCAGGCTTCAAAATTTGCATTTCAACTTTTTAAACGGGATAAAAATGGCATATCCAAAGCTTTTTAATGCAAAGACCATGCATCTCAATTCAAGGACCAGCCCTTGCACGCCAAAGCCAACAAAGGTCAGCCTTCTTGAGTGTTGACAGCCTAATATGATTAGAGTATCCTCTGTCTTCGTGTACAAATAAACCATGCAAGTCTACGCTCACATGATTATTGTAGGCAACAAGCTTTGGTTGTTGAAGGCTTGCAGCCAAGAAATTCAATTATGTTACAATACCTAAAACTTTCTGAAGAAAACTTGAAGAAATGTAGCGAGTGTTCTGTCATGATGACAAAAGAACAAACTCCTACAAGGCACGTTTCTCCTTCTTTAAGCCATTTATCAACATTTATAAAGACTATATAGCAGCCCAGACAAAAATAAGCTTTGGAGCGAAATTTGGCAAGCATTAATCAATGCATGGCAAGAATGAATGGTGGCTGGTCAGCCAAGTGAAAGAACCGTCAAAAATCATCAACGTATAATAATAAAAATCTCAACCGCATCAAAACCTACAACTAGCGTAATTTATCTAAATCAAAGCAATGAACATGTGCATGAAAATAAGCAAACTAATTGATGCACTCAAACTCGAATGAAGAAATTAGTAGTAGATACAAACCCCATTTGGATGTTTCCTTTGACACTGGCTATAGGATAATATTCGTCCCCAACAGGAATACCTGACCAGTGAAAGTGTACTCTCCCACCACCCCCACCACCACCACCATTGGGACTCCCATGTCCTCCGACGGTAGAGATGATAGAAGAGTCACCAAGGACCAGCGCATGAATAAACAGAAGAATAGTTCCACCAGATCCACCTCCAGGTCCTACATCTGAGATGGTCCTACCATCTGTTTCTCTTATACGCTCTCCAAAACTCTCCCCATCTGCTCTAATGGAACCATCAATCGACAGACTTGACAATGAGTGCTCCAGCGAACCCATTACTACTCAAAGCAATAAAACAAGATTAGCATTTGTGTGAAAGAACAAAAGTGAGATCACTAACTTAACGTAAAGATCCTAAGCAAGCTGATCCTCAAAAGATATCCTACTAGCAATGACTAAAACTGCATTATCACAAAGGTCTGAAAGAAAATGAACGTGAAATCAACAGGGCAGCCGTTTTTTTCCGAAACTTTACCTATGATACCACCCCCAGCAGTTGCACCGGCAAGACTATCATTCCCACTACCACTACCAAGCTCACAAGGCAATTCTGCATTCCCATATGTGACCCCACCTGAGATAAAACTCCCATTATGATATCCATCCCCGCCTTTCCCACCATGCCCACCGCCACCACCAACCCCATTATCCATAATTTTACCTCTACCAACTCCACCCGTGCATCCTGCAGGGCATAATGAAGATCTGTAAAACTCATGCAAACATAATAAACAGTGGATGATGAATTTACACGTGTTGAAAATAAGTTGCTCCTTGTACTTAAAAACAACGATTTGCAAAGCCTAATCACGATGAGATATGTACAAATGAGATAGTGTATCCTCCCTACCAAGCCCAGATACACTAACTGTTCCGGTGGAGTGTACAAGTACTGTTCTGACCCAGTGAAAATGAAGCACAGAACCTGTAATGCTTCCTTCAACAATTATATCTTCAACTCGACAGATCTGCAGAGCCAGTGTCAAAACACTAAGGCCAAATCATTTTACAGTGAAAGAAACAAATGTGACTTATACAGGGTGAAACAGCTAGCCAGTAAGACACCTGAAGAGTGAATGACAATGAAGAATTGACATTACAGTCTTCGGGTGGATGTAGTAACTCTCTTGGACAATCCTGGAGCTCACAATAAAGTCGTGGAGTCCTGTAATACACAAATATGAACATAAAGATGCGATTACATCAACATGCACTATCTGCAATTGGCAAGCACCCCAACTTACAAGTCATCATCACTGGCAGTTTCCAAAGGACCTCGCAACGTAGACCCTGGTCCAACCTTCACAAATTAGAAGATAATCAGCCCAATGTGTACAGAATATGCAATAGAGAGAAAAATAAGTTCAAGACAAAGCCCAAGAAGCATATGAGATTTATTCTAAGCAAAAATCCAGTAACATGGGGACTAATGTAGGTAATTTCATGCTATATAATATGACCACCAACATTGCGTGTCGTATTTCTTTTTTGATGGACCAATAGAATCAATTAGAGACAGCAAATTAAAATCAAACAACAACAGCTACACCAAACTGATCCATTTAGCAAAACTTGGAAACGAGAAAAGCTATACATAATCCACTAAAGCGAAACCAAGAAATGAAGTCAGCCTAAAATGTTCTTATGGAGCCAAGCTTATGATTGCAAGAAAATCACTACTCTTTGTAATGACGGCTATCTGAGCAAGTCATCAAGAAAGTTTAGTCGTTCAGCCAGTCCAAAGAAATTACATGATAACCCGAGAAAATATCAGGAGTTTCAGCATAACACTTCAGTCCACATATGTCACGGTTGAAAATAAATCCAAAAGAGATATGACTCGTACTTGACAAAAAATAGTACTCATTATAAGGGGATTAGGAGAAAAGAGGTCTTCATCTTACACTGATGCAGTAGAATAATGATATAACCAAGCGTTGAGCCTCAATGAGATCGCCTGGTCCTGATAAATTCAGGGAACCTTGTCCATGAACTCCTAGATTTGCATTTGAATGTATTACAGATGATTCCTGGTACAAGGAGTAAGGGTGTTATTTTATATCATACCACAACCAAAGTCTGGAACAAATAAGAAAGGAGGAAGAGATAAACTACCCTCAGAACCACAAGATTGCTAGCCTCAAGCAAGGATGTTGCCAAAATTGCATCGTGGCCACCATCAATAAGCATCTTGGAGTTCCACATCAAGTGCATTTTGACCGACATACGAAGAGCTCCATAAATCTAAAGTAATAAAGTGCGATTGAGACATTAACTTATTAATCAGACATTGACAAACCCCAAAAGCCGAAAGGAAAAGCAAGGGTTCCGCATTTCAGGTTTGATTGTCGTTATGGTTTTCTCTCCAGAAGCTAGCATGCTCTTATATCTTGGATTACACATTTGAAAGACGAGCCTTTATTGTCTTAGATCAAGATTTAGAGTTATATTATATGGTGCCAACATGACTTCCATTCAGGATATTCAATACTTCAATTTTGTCATGGATAAGATCTTGGGCTTGAAAGAATAGCACTTCTAGTTGCAAGTACCCGTACAGCAAAATTAGGCCATATTCCTTCCACGTATATAGACAATGATGGAAACTGGAAGTTCTATTCTAACCGATGAAAGAGTAAGACTTTGATGCATTTTTCTTACTTCCTGTTTTATAATTCATTCAGCGTAACAAGGCTAGATGTTGTGCCACTTACATGATTATTTTTCAAGTTATGTTTCAAAGCATCTTTTAAACAACATTCTTTCAATAAATGAAGTTGTGCTAGCCAAGACGCTGTCCATTCTTGTTTACTGTAAAGGAGAACCTTCGCCATATTATAATAGTCATTGAATAAGAGCCTTACAAATCCCCAGTAAGTGTCCAAAGCAATGAATCTCGGGTTATCATGTAATTTCTGTGTATGGTGCAGAATCCATGAATTCCATTATAAGAGTCGCTAATGTAGTCCGATAAGCTTAGATAAATATATAATCATACCAGGAACTCTATATCAACACAACTAATAAGTGAAGCAAAAAGACATCAAGATGGTATATCCATCTCTACCTAGCATTGACCTTTTGGGCTCCTCTCAGTACGAGATCAGCAGCAAAAGAAAGTTTATTAGTCACGATTTCTCAATTTCCTTCTATTGGTACTTTTAGTCTAGATTATGATTTGTGTGAGAGTAAATAAATATTAAACCACGCCTTCATCTAACAGTTTAAGCTTTTAGAATAGTTGACAGTGGTCCCACAAAATCTCAAATGGTATCAGAGCCGGAGGTCATGAGTTCAAATCTTTCCGACCCCAATTGCCTCCCCAATTAAATATGTTCATGCTTAGTGCTAGGCAAAGAGACCAGACTAAGCGTGAGGGAAAGTGTTAGAGTAATAAAATATCAAACCATACCTTCATCTAACAGCTTAAATTTTTAGAACAGTTGGCAATAATCTCACAAAATCTCACAATTTGAAATTTTTTAAAATACTACTCACAACAAACTCCCACACAACTTCTAGGAATGGAACGAGTAACACTTAAATAAAGTTCTAACAAGCAGAACAAGCTTTCATAGTCTAACAGAAAAGATAATTAACCACACATCTTTTTGTGTCTCAACAAGTGCATAGTTAAGATGCTACTGTACATTAGGACAAGAATAATAAATACTGAAAAGTTCAAATGCAGTACTTTATCCCGAACATGACTATAAATCATGCACAGAAGAGAGAGCATATTTGTATCCGTATAAAGCTGCAGTCATATATATAACACTTGTAGAGATAAATTCAAAGGAAGAAGGCAGTAAGGCCAGTGACTTGCCTTCATTACAGAGTCGCTCATTAAAAGCTCTTCTGCCATTAACTCAAATTCCGATGTGCCCAGATGTGCCAGTCCAAAGCTCAGCATAGCACCAGATGACAACTGAAGTTGGCCTTGAACCTATACATCCATACTCTTTTAACAAAGAAAAAATGACAACGCAATATAGCAAGAATCACCTTGCAACCTAAAAGTTAAAACCAAGAGCGCTGTTTCAGCTAACTCCAAGGGAAAGTCTGACTGAACAATTTCTTCAAGCAATTAAATTAGCTTTAATTGCTAGTTAAAGCATGCAGTCTCATATCAAACATGCCAATGTACATGAAGTACAATTTTCTGTGATTATGCTCTTTTTCTGTTGATAATGAATACCCGCTCTTTCTCCATAAATTTTTCTTATAGCAGAAGCCTCTGCTTCATCTGGTCAAGCCAGCCTAGTCAAAGGACAAAAAACACCTCAAGGAACTTCCAAGTGAACATGTTGGCAATATTTGAATATCTTGTAAGCATTCTTTTCAGGGTAGTAAGCATATTGCAAACTAATCCCAAAAGCCCGATCATGTCTCGTAGCAAAATCGTGTACTAAAGCACTAACGAGTAAAAGATAATATTGGCGAGCAAGTAAAGGTCCTGCATTATACAGAACAGAAGGGAGGTGGAACCATAAAATAGTATTAAATTTTCTGACAGATTGCAAACAAGTAACACTTCTTCCTTGAAAATATTGTTTCGTAAGTAAACCAAAGCACAGAAAAAAAATAAAACTTAAGAGCTTAAGAACTAAATAGAGGGCAAAGTTCAGGATATTATTCATCCCAATTGGCAAATTTTACACCGAAAATATTGAATTTAACTCCAGTATTTGGTATAATCAACCATGAAAAGGGAGAAAAATGAACACTAAAGCATACCTGGTTGCACAAGTAAATCTCAAGAAAAGATGGACAGTAGAGACTTATGTTTTCGAAATCTTACATTCTTCCCATAATTAGCAATTTGCTATGTTAGGCTCATGTGAGATCACGAAAGACAGATAAACCCAATATTTTCTGATCCACAAAGTTCTTGCTCTAATTAAACATGTCATGTAGAAACTATACAAGCACAAGAAAAATAAAGTTAGGAACCACATAAAGAAGGGGCCAAAACTTGGAAGTACCATTTGGTATGCTGAATTTAATTTTGCCTTACTCTTGCCACTATTTTTCTATTTCTATTAAGCTTACGAGAGAGAGTGAGGTTGAGAAGCTTCGTTCTTTGACTAACTCAAGATAAATTCAATAACTGTTAGATTACCTATCCACTGGTAAGTATTTCCAGAGAAAGTGCGCAGCGGCCAACTGATTAGGAAAACAAACAAGCCCACTGATGCTTAAAGGTCGAAACAACAGATGATTTCTACCACCTACGATCGACTCAAAAGCATAGCTGCAAAACACAGCATTGAGACCTGAACCACTTTGATGGTTTAAGTACTTAATGGCCTCCTAGAAACTTACCAAATAAACAAGGAATTTGTATTTCTTGAGAAGTTGCAAAGAGGTTCAACAAACCACTATAATCTTGGAGAGAATGTAACACAGCAGAAATAGAGCAAGAAAGTTTTTCACCAACCCGGACACAACCCGAATAAACCACTATAATTTTGGAGAGAATATAACACAGCAGAAATAGAGCAAGAAAGTTTTTCACCAACCTGGACGCGACCCCAATACAGAGGAAGGCAAGCCTTAGCATGATTCTGAATATAAACATTTGTCCAAAGTGGCTGTTTAGGGAACTCTAGCAGAAGAGTGTCAGTATGAGTGGACAAGTTGTGATTGTTGACAGTAAGACTCCGAGGTACAGCATCATAGTAGGTCCCAGAAGCGCCTGAATTTTCAGAACAACCAAAACTTCTTCCCCCTGAAAAAAAAAAAAGGTCGAGATTTTGTAACAATGCAGTCAAGGAAATTCCTTATTGTAAGTCTAGAAGGGAAGCTCACAGAGAATCTTGGTACTCCAATTGGATAACTTTAGATGTATATTAGAATATAAAACTAGGGTCTGGTCTCACCGTGGACAAAGTATCCTGTGTCATCATGTCTACTGAAAACATTTATCGAGATTCTTCCGCCCCCACCTCCAGCAAAACCGCTGCCACCTGCGGCACTAATAGTGCCACTTCCAATCCTGCTTTTTAGAAGGATCTCTTTTAGTTCACAATTTGATACAATTCTCATTGACGTGGACATAATAACAGAAGACACTTCATCAAACAGAAATGACTAAGTTGATGAATGGAGCATCTGATTGATGTGGCTGGATGCAAGCATAGCAGCAAATACAATGCTACACAAAAAACCGTCGAGCAGTATGCCTGCATGCATATTTCTAATCAAAACAATTCACGGTCAGCAGTACATAGCCAGTCTCTTGTGAAGCCCTTAAAGTGTTCTTGCAAGTTGCCATTAAAACATAAACAGCAGTTGCTGCTCTTACCCTTCAAGAAGTGAAGTAATATGAATGAAAACAACTGGCCCTTCAACATCATTTTAGTTGAAATGAGCAGTCATGCAACGACTTATAAAAAGTTTGATTGTAAATTATGAACAATCGAGCATATGCAGCACACCATTGAAGCAATAACTTTTTATGCTTGGCTGTTCTAGTTTCAACATCAGAATTTGCAAAAGTTGCATCAAAGCAAGACGTGTACCAGTTATGTTAAATGAACTATGAAACTTATTCTCAAAGTTAATAAGAAATCCTATTCCTATGTATAATTCCTGATATTCTAAAATAGCATATACTCGCACGTTTACCCTTCAGCAGTGATGCAGGATATGATTCAGTTTTTAGTATTTTGCGTCTTTTCCTTTTTCTTAAGTCTTTTATGATGTTATTAGGTTGCTAAACAGTCACGTGCCAGTCATGCAACTTTCAATAAGCCCCAACTGCTGAGACTAGAAGTTAATATTTTAGATCACGGTTTGAGAGTTCGAAATCCCAGTATAAATAGGTCTTTAAGTCTCTTTGTCATTAGCTTTCTTCATTCAATAAAAAGCAGTGGTTTTTCCATTAACCCTAGGATACCTTTCCTCTGTTCCAGCATCAATTCAACTTTATTTTAGCCCAGTTTTTGTTCTTTTTGCTATCTTCTACGTCTCCGACTATGTCAAATTGGTATCAGAGCCCCTTGTTATGGTTTTTCCCTACATCAAGCAACTTCAATAAAGAAAGACTTTAATGATAGAAAATTCTACGTAGCCAACCATCAAAAGAAGATACTCTCTAGCTTCACGATGCATGCCCCCTCTATAATTGGACGAACGCGTACACGATGCACTTCACAGACAAAGAAGTGGTTTCACAACTAAAGTCAGAGTCAACTTATTGTCATTCTGAATCAATAAGGTCCATTTCAACTGATCACCAAAGAACCCACTAGTTCGAGACATTAAGTAGCAAATAGACTAACTCCATGAATCAATGGCAGGAGCACCAATCTCATTTGCTTCTTACCTAACCATCCACAAGCTCATTATATTTTCTTAAAACAGCTGTAGTATCTATTGTAGACGGAAAGAACCCTCAATGCATGCAACTAAGAATCTTACACTCAAGACCAGACAAGATAGACATAGTCATCAGCTAACGAAAACAGCGAAAAAACACGTGGGACATCAAATCTAATGCCACTCACTTTTAACAATGCCATGATACACAGAGCACTATCTACAATCAATTTCAGAAATCACGATGCACCAGGAGGCTAAGAAGAACATCTAAATGTGGCTTAAATTACTCAAAAGGAAGAGACATTACATTCTATGAGCCTGAATATAAATGCTGCCACCACTGCCTCCTCCACCCTTGACACCACCATCACCTCCATCTGCCAAAAGACTCCCCGAGACCTCGATTTCATTCTCCACCTCGAACTTAATCCTCCCACCTCCCTCCCCGCCATAATCCTCTTCCTTACTGGTGGTCCCTCCCTTACTCCCGTAGCTATACGGCTTGTCCAAAGACCGCCAAGAATATGCATCTCCGCCCCACACATCATCGGGGAGCTTCTCATTATCGGTCAAACAATTCGCGCCTCTCCCACCATGTCCGCCGCCCGCCCCCTGCACACCCTGGGGTGTGCCGCTCGTCTCCGCCGGCGGCTCCCCGGCCAATCCCGAAACGTTTATCAGGGACCCATCAATCAAACCAACACTATGAGCTACCACATGCACTGTACCAGCAACAATAACCCCATTTTGGCCTAGACTAAAATTGCCACTTATATTAACCATTATGAAGCAGCCCCTAATTGGGCAGCTAAGACGAACACCCGGAAGTACATATAAATTCCCTAAACCTTTGATATACACATCATCGCCGAATTCTAAGGTCTTATTCAGCTCACAGGTCGAATCGATAGAGCCAACCCCGTCGAGATCCTCGCACGACAACGGGGGCGGGAGCGGCAGGTCGGGCGGCGGGGGCGGCGACGGCGGCGTGTAGTCGCCGTGGAAGCCGAGCACGTCGCTGTCGGCGGCGACGACACCCGAGAACCCGTCCCCCGAATCAGCGGAGAGACCCGGCCTCACGGCGAAAACGGCAAGAATGTGGAGGATCACGAGGCACGGGGCTTCGATTGCCGTTCGAGCCATTCCAGCAACGAAAGGGGGCCCTTCGCTGAAGGCGAGAGGGGGGGCCTCAAAGGGTGTCTGAATTGGCGAAGGAGCTCTGGTGGGTCATCTGGGCAACAATGGCGGTCGAGCAAATTTTCTTGAATTTCTGGGGGGTGTGATGGTGAGGTGTGAGATCAGATGATCTTTTGCAGGAAGTTGCTTGGAGAGGGAAGGAAATGGTATGGTGGGGGGGATTGGACTGAATTTTGGGAGGTTGAATTCCCCTTTGTATAAGATTACAAAACGAAACGTAAAATTTGGATCGGTTCGATGAAGGTTATACGGTCGAATCGTCGTCGAGGAAAAGAGGGACGTTGAAAGGCGGGTCCAGGAGCGAAGGAGGAAGAAAGAGGGAGAAGATGAACAGGTGGACGGGAAAGCCGCACACGTGCCGAGATGAACAGGCGGGGCGGGGCGGGCGGACGGAAAGCGGCACGCGTGCATGGCACGTGTGCGCTTTTTCTAAAGTCCCCCAATTGTTGTTTTGTTTTTATGTTACGTTTTGTCTATTTAAAGCATCTTTTTGGAATTTGAGGCCAATTCGGGCCCCAAATTTTGCACCGCTTCGGGATGAAATTGAAGAGCAATAAGAGCTCCACCTGCATATTGGCCTGTAGGTTCGACCGACGGTTCGGTTCGGTTCGGTTCGGTTCGGCTCGATACGATTGCGATTGTTAGATTGACTTTACTTCTATGTTTAACCGCGGTAAATGAAGCCGGTTAAAGGACGTTTATCCATCCAATCATCTTATGATTCGGAAAATTTCGATTCGAATTCGATCTAATTGGCCCACTGGCAAATGAAATTTGACCACCGAGTTCTCATTATACATCAATGAGTGGGACTCCTCCAACCCCATGATTCCTGATGGGCCCAACTCAGCCCAATTAGGAACCGCTAAACAAAACCAAATCAGTCACTAGTCACTGCACAAATCTTCACTAGCTCTTGGAGCCGAAGATAATAATAGAGTCTTGGACCTGGGTTGGCTCGTATGAATAGTTCACATCCCTTTAAAGAAAAGGCCCAAAAATGCTGTTCTCTAAAAGAAAACCAAAAAAAAAAAAAAAACAGGAAGCTTGTAAAGAGTCAAAAGGTTCAAGCGGAAAGCTTTTGGCAGAAGCACCTGGGGCATCTGGTTCAATTTTTTTTTAATTCACACGCCTGAGATTTCAAAACAATTCTCGTATTTGAATATTCGTGCGGCCCGGCCCGTCAACTTCGGCAATACCGAGGAATCTTACCGTGGTCCAGCCCACTATTTTATCGACCGAATCTGTACTTGCTCCGGATTAATTTATAGATGGGGAATATGAAGTAAAGCACAGTTTTGTTCTGATTGTCGATTGGTTAGGTAAAAAGGCAGAGCCAACTATCAATGTGCTTAGAAAAGAAGTTGAGGACTAACTGGGAAATGGCTTTGTGCATGCTTTTAATGTTTAAAGAATTTCTCTCAATGATTCTACCTTTAGAAAGAAGGCAACTTTAGCAGGTCCAATGCTGTGAACCCAATCATGGTTCACATGGATTTGTTCATACTTAATCAGGTTGATAAGTGGGTCTTTGGGGCCACTTCACATGCTTTTTGAACAAGCTTGTGGATGAGCCTATCCATGTCTGAGTTCTTTGATGGCATGTGGGCCTTCTTTGGGGGCCCAATGCGAAACCATGGTTTAAGGTAAAGGAAGGATGACCCTTATTGGAATTTAATAAAAGTTGTTCCCTTCTTCACTATGTCAGCAATAGGAAGAGAAAAAAAAAATCACTTTTGCGTGGTGCAGTGGAAGAATAAGAGGAATGAGAAGAGAAATTGAAGTTCATGCATACATTATACAGACTGATCGATTGAGGAAAACAGTTATCCTTTAATTTGGCTAAGAGCTATCTAGCTTCTATTCTCTACATGGCAGATTGTGATTAGCTGTTACATCCAAACTGCACACGCATATTAAAATTGCGTATGGATATACTCATAAAAGAGCAGGAGCTAGGTAGTTCCAACCTGTCGGGGTGCAAATTAAGTCCCTCGATAGTTGATCGCTTGATGTGCTTTTGTCCATCCCTAATTATAACTATTAGCTAAATACACACAATGACCATGTAGAAGTTCAATCGAAGTATGTTTGATTGTCGGAGGCAATCAAATTAATGCATAATTGGAGGCAAACCACACATGTGAAAATCGTCATGTTATAAAAAAGATCTAGATAGCTCCTATCTAGATTCAAATGGGTCTATAGTAATTATATCGAATATAACCGATGTATATCTGTTCAATATGGAATTTTGTTACCCATGTATGTGCACTCTTGCTCGGAAAAAGCGTCTTATATATCGGTTACAAAGCTAACATGGTTTACCCATTAAACTGTGTTGTCATCTAACATGCATCGCCACCATTTTTGCATGTGAATTTTAAAGAAATTCATATACGACCGGATCATCTCTCAAGATGCCACGGCCGCGTGATACGTTCGATATATAAAATCCTACCTCGTCCTTTCCTAGGTAGCCAAACATCGTGCGAATTTTTCGAAACAATGGTTGTGTGGTCATTATTGAGAGCACTAGGATTGAAAACAAACCCAACCCGGCATGCCCCACATATAAAATACTACTCGAATATGCTACCCATCTTTTTAAAGTGACACTCAACGGCAGCAAAATAACCTCATGTCAATTTATCCGCCAAAAAAGAAAAAGAGGAACAAAAAAAAAAAATTTGTCACCTTCATTTTGTTTTATTTTAATTTTCCCAAACTCCCCTTTCGATGTCAACTTATAACTTGGATTTCATGATGTCGTTTTCACATAGCAACCTTCAAGATCTCTAACCCATCGCTAAAGCTTAGGCCATTGATTCGTGCCTCTCGAATATCTAACTCAATTGGACATATTGGGACAATTATATCTCCCTCACAATAAAGTATTCCCCACCATCAAATCATTTTCCGAGACTTAATTATACTGGGTAAATTGACTGAATCTTCTGCTCGCAAGAGACGGCGAAATGAGTAATCTCATTCCATAATCCACGGAAACATTCGAACGGGGTTTCGTTAATTGGTGTTTCCACGGCACTTGTTAAGCGCTTAAATGAGACTAAGCCAACTAAATAAGGGGAATTTTGCAACGGTCAATGAACCGTTCTTTTTTTCCCTCGTGTCGGGTCGGACCGATGTTTTGAAAATCAAATTATCTTTCGTTAAGCATGCTTGACAAGTACGTCGAGGTGCTAACTGAGAGCATCTTTATTAAATGAAAGTAGGTGTAACTTTAGTTGGTATCCTTCAAAATTAATGTAAGATTTTTGCCCCCTTGCAGCAAGCATGGGCAACTACGAAACTTGTCGGCAGGTAACATGCATTTGGGTTTTTGAGTGGGACGTGGGGTTGGAGCAGGTCTATCAGGTCACATTCAAAGATGGTCCATGCCTTGCTTTGGCTTTTTATCTTGATATTGATGGGACTAAACTCTAAGATTGATGAGTCCAAAGCCTCCCATTAATTGATTGAGGACCATAATCACTACTCTTAGGGACCGGTTAGAAGACGAAGTAAGAAGAAGCAAGAAGAAGCTTGTGCTTAACCTTGACGCGGTATCGCCTCATTTTGATCGCCCGTTTCTCTTTCTTGTGTACTATGACAATTGCGTGAAATCGCATGTCGGTGCACAGAGAACAGAGAAGATTGTATGTCAAGGACGGGAATTTGGTTTTTTGACTGCTTAGGAAATCGAAGACTCGTATAGAGATTATTGTTATTATTATTAAGAAAGGTTCGATTACTTAAATACTAAATCCCGCCTTCGTCTATTAGTTTGGGTTTTTAGAACATTTTGCGGTGATTTTACAAAAATTTACATGGTATCAAAACAAGAACTCCTGAATATAAAAGTTTTCGTGACCTCTTATGTGCTTCTTTTATTATATATTTTTTCACGCTTTAGTCTTAGGATATAGCTCAGTTTATGCGTTTTCAGAAAATGTTAGAACATTTAAATATTAAATCATACATTCATCAATCAATTTAAATTTTTTAAATAATTGACGGTGATCTCAAAATTTTTTATAGAAGTAGACATGCGACATTTTGTATTTTTGCACGAGCCGATGATATTTATGATTTTACGTACTTCACAAAGATACATGATCGAAATTAAAAAGGGAGATAAAAATGGAATATTACAATAAGAGAGGCAATTACGGGACCGTAAAAATTTGAATTTCAATGCCTCCTGCTCTGATATCGAGATCTTGCATGTAAAGAACCATCCCAATATTTTTACGAGAAAATCGTGAACGTCGATATCGATGATTTTACCGCAACATGTCCTAGATGGCTCGCTATCGACTATTAGAACTCCACCAAATCGAGACTACTTTTCCCTCACATAGGACTACCAAAAGAGTAAAAAACAAAATGAAAATATGGAGTAATTATATTTTCTAAAGACCCATCAACCACGACATTGCCCGTCGCTTTCCAAGTTACGAAGTCCCACAAGATCCCCCATATCTCTCCAACGTTGACAAGCCCCATCCTCCCATTCCAAGACGTCACTTTCACGTGAAGTTGATAGGATCCCTTCTTCATTATTCAAACATGCAAAAACGATCCCCCACTGTTTCTGGAGTGGACTGACGATCCCCACTGTTTCTGGAGTGGATTGATGCATCACTCCACCATCTCTTATCCTCTTTTTCAAATATTGGGAGCGTGTTAAAACATTCCATATCGCCGGTCTATAAAATTTGGGCAAAAATATATTAAAAGTGTCACAATTTATATACGGTGATCATTTTGATACCACAACTTTTTTCGAATCACTTTGGTGTCAAGTCAGAGGAAAATAGATCACTTTAGTGACTCCGATCAAAATTCCGGTCAAAAAGCTGACCTGGCATTTATATTAAAAAAAAATGGTCTTACTTGTACACGTGAAAATTATGTGGCTTTTTTTTCGAATTTTTTAATTTTTAGAAAAATACTAAAAATTAAAATAATTAATTTAAAAAAAAAAAAGTTGCAGCG